CGTTAAGGGGGATTGTGTTACTAGTTTGTAGATTTTTTAGTTTCTATTCACAGAAAGCATTCTTGCTTAGGTTTTGTGGTTATGTGTACTTCTGAGTTTGGTAAGTTTTTGCATGTTTTGGCCAAAGTTTAGTTCGTTGTGTTTGTCAAAGGGGGTTTGAAAATTTTCTGGATTATCCAATTCTGGTCGACTCTTGTGTCATCAAGTTTCATGTGTTACTTTCCCAATTTTTATCTTCTTTTTGGTATCGTAAGTGTGACTTTAAAAGGCTTAACTTTGCTAGTTTTGTGATTGGAACATATAACACTTTTGGTGTTTCTTTTATTAGCTGGATGATTAGTTTCTGGGATTTTGTTAAGTTTGATGTTATGTTCCTCTTTGGAAAGTGCTCTTTGTTTGAGATTTTCAGACAGTTGTGCTATATAATCTTATATTGTGGGTGTTGTTTACATTGCTGCTCTAAATAAAAACTTTGGATGTTACAGGTTGGATGTCTATATCCATGATTGAGTGTTGAAGAACGAGATCATGCTGAGAAGTTTATGGAGTATCAGGTCCTTGGTCAATGATTTCATATTGTTTCATTCATAAGCACTAATCATTTGAGCTAAGTTCTTTAACACCAATTCATTTTGGTTTCTTTGATTTACAGAACAAACGTGGTGGGAAAGTCAAGTTAAAACCGTGTCTGTGCCTTGTAAGCTTTCGGCATATGATGGCTCGGTTTGGTGTTGGGGTTATAACATTTGTATCCTTTATCTGAATGTTACGATGGCTAGCTTGATATGATGTTTTTTTGGTAACTACTTTTCTTACATTATTGCCTGAAATCACTGGTAAATGGATGGCCAACTTGGTTTTGATGGGGAGAACTCCTTGGCACCATGCTTGATACAAAATTTCTTTCAACAAGAAGCATTGGTAGCTTAAAGCTTTAAAGATGGGGAGAACTCTCTGGCACCTTAAAAGAACAATTTTATGTTTCAGTTTGTTTAATATACGTTTAAAAATAATAAATTAGTGTTGTTATAGAATT